CTCGCGACGTTGATAATCTTTTGGACATTGACATTGTCTTATCGGTTTGCGCCGGCCTCCTTATTGTCGACAACAGAATGTCTGCGGTTCGACTTGTCCATTACACCACGCAGGGCTACTTGGATAGCACTCAGGCACCTCATTTCCGAGATGCACACACCATAATTGCATCAAGATGCTTTACATATTTTGCCTTCGTGGATTTTTCACACCTCGAACATTATCCGTTGATGGTATACTATTGCCTCCACCAACAATATCTGTTGATGGAATACTGCCAATATTGCCTCCACCATACCCGGGATGCATTTGGACTTGAAGATCAGATCAAGTCTTTTCTCAATCAGGCGGTGAAATGCAAGATTTTTTGGGCATCAGTAGAAGAGACAGTTTTCCCTTGGAATCATACACGTTGGCCAACATCACCTTCCCTATTGTGGATTTTGGCATCCTCCAACTTGGTCAGGAGTGCAGAACATCTTCTGATGAACGAGAAATTTGAACGCAAAGAGTTGCACTCTCCGTTCTGTGTGGCTTTGTATGGTGGCCACATCGAGATGGTCAAGCTGCTATCGAAGTTTGGTGGCAACTTGGATGCCCCGATGGGATATTATTATATCTACGGGAGAGAATACTACGGGACTGCACTACAAATTGCGTCGATGGACGGGAATGCGGCACTGGTTCGACTCCTCATCGATTTGGGTGGCAGCGTGGATGTGTTACAAGGACATTTTGGAACAGCCCTCCAAGCCGTATCATACAACAGAGAGGAGTCGATGGTTCGACTCCTCATCGAGATGGGGGCTGATGTGAACTTAGAAGGAGGATATTACGGAACGGCGCTGCAGGCTGCGGCTTGGATGGGACACGAGCAGGTGGTTCGACTCCTCATCGAGAAGGGGGCTAATCTGAATGTCCATGCCGGAGGACTCGGAACGGCCCTGCAGGCTGCATCGTACGAAGGACATCAGACTTTGGTTCGATTTCACATTGAGAGCGGAGCTGATGTGAACACTCCAGGAGGGCAATTTGGAACACCACTTCAAGCTGCAATGATCAAGGGACACGAGCTGTTGGCTCGACTCCTCATTGAGAAGGGTGCCAATGTGAATTCAGAAGGGGGATACTTCGGAACGGCACTACAGGCAGCATCGGTAAAGGGAGATGAGCGGCTGGTTCGGCTCCTCGTCGAGAACGGGGCCGATGTGAATGTGTCAGGAGGACGATTTAGTTCGGCGTTGGAGGCCGCGTCAGACCGCGGACACGAGCCCATCGTCCACTATCTCATCGAGATGGGTGTAGACGTCGATCCACAAGGAGAGCATTTTGGACGGGCCTTAAATGCAGCATCGGCTCGAAGACATGGGTCGATCGCCCGCCTCCTGATGGAGGCCAGCACACGTTTATTCTTGTCACCGCAACAACAGGTACGTCCAGCTTTTTTAGTGAATAACTTGAGACTTACCACGCAAAGGCTGTGAGTATTGTCGATACGCGACAGATATGACTTAGCACAGAATCCACGTATATCTCTGCCATTCTGTCGGACTGTTCGGAGGAACTAGTAAGCACAAGTTTTTCTATGTGACAATGTTGCGGTTAAAGCTCGTACTCTGAATACTCGGGGATCGGGAGTTTTAAGGACGCTGTGTATGGCTCGGATAAGAGTGTGTCGTACCATTTCAATTATTCTCGACTCGTTCCGATTTCGTGAACCCGAGTAGGCCCACTCCAAACTGTACTATCATTCATAGACATATTAGAGGATGCCATCCGTGCTTATGGCATCGGATGTTTTTGCCTGCGGGAACAGTCCGTCCGACGGCATGGTAGAGTTCAACTGGAATTTCGGTCAGTCATTTGTAATCAAAAGTAGCACAAACATTTAGGAACGGAGTTCGGCCGTTAGGAAACATGTTGAATATGGTCACATTCTCCCGAGCCGCCCTCAAACACTCTAGCATTTCGCCGGGTGCTTGTTAACGGAGACTCCATAGATGCCTGTGCTGTTGAATTTCAGCGAGATTGAAAAGGTAAGACATCAGTTCGAGACTTACATTGGGTTTGCGACGCACGCCGCACAGCTACCCGGCGTATTAAACACAGCCACTGCGGTAAATTTATTCATGCGCCCCAACACAGCGATGTGCACTACAAAAATTAGCGATGGGATGATATGATACGGGGCAACACCATACCTAGACCAAGGTTGGTAGCGGAACGTTCAGCCTGCACTCATCACAAATCATTCGTTAACCACAAAACTACACAAGAGTATAACAGAAACTTACTTATCTGAAAGAGTCTTGACTGCGCGCACTCGTTGCAGTGGGTGTTGGAAGCCTGGCGCACTGCAGCACAAGTCAAGAGTCAACCACACCGTTGAACGTGTTAGCGGCATGAGTGGTGTGATGGACGAAGAAGAACAGACACGTGTGGCAGTGTAAAATGATGAGTGGTCAATCAAGGCCAAATTAGGAAAGCCTCCTTCCTTTCACGGTTTCACCTTTTGCAGCTTCGGACCCAGACTCGGAGCACCATCAATACTTTGCGCTCAGACTTGTTTCGTCTACAGATACTGCTCGATAGGCCCGGGTCGCTTGGTTTCTTGGGAAGAAGGAGATTGAGGAGGAGCACATGATGGCCTCTGAATCTGCCCCACCGACGCACACGGGTTCTTTCCCTACCGAAACGCCTTCTTGGGAAATTTCTCTTTGCTTTCTCAAGAATCCGTATGAATCCTTAACTCAAGCTTCACCGCCGAACTTGACAGACGGAAATCTTCTTCACCCTGCTAATCAACCTGAAAATGAAACAATATACAAGCAACTGACTCGAATCGATTGATTCTAGCGATAAATTTGCGACTTGGCCTTGATCCGCACCAGCAGGCCGATTACGTCCCATTTTTACGTTCTGCAAGCTGACTCCGATGTCGAATCGGTGTCCTGTATCTCTTCCCAGTTCCTTACATCCCAAGGAATGAATTCGCTTCTGTTTTTCTGAAATGGCTCGATACTGTGACAATATCTGGTTTATCTGAATGGCAACTTACAACATGAGGAGCTACTAATTACCTACATCATCAGTTTCATGCGGCGGGGAACTGCCCTGACCATATGGCAGTCAGATTCCCTTTCATCCGCTGTTAACTATCACGGGGACCTGTATTACAAGCCCTGCAGCGGAGCGATGTGTCACTGCCTTTCTCTTCCTCTCTCGTCATGTCCCACCTCGTGAACCCCGCTGTTTTCGACAATTACTGGGATAATGTCCAGAATGAGATCTGCACAGCAGTAGTACATTTCCCATCTGGACATCGGCACCTCTAATCGCTAGCGACAATTAGATTGAAAGGATTGAAGTGTACTCAATCTACTCGGACCAGCCTCAAAAATTAAAGTTGAGAGTTAAAGTGCGAGGAGGGCTGTAAAATTCCTTCCACACAACCATTAAATTGTGGTACTATACTCCTATCACTCAACACAAGGCAAGAGAAGACCTGACGGTGTTGTGATGACACACCTGTTGAATTTTGGGGAAGTTTAGCAGGAGACCCTCGGTCGAACCCATGGCTGCTTGATGACACTGTTTTTTGATACATCTTTTTCTAAATTCTTTCTGGATACATTCATTGCCTGATACTAGCTCAGTCTGAATGAGCTGGGTAGATGTTAATTTGGACTTGAACTAAACAACAGATGTACATTTGGGGCGAGTCCACTCACGACAGCGGTTTGTCAGGAGACCCTGGTTTGAACCCGGGTGAGGTTCTTCTTCTTTTCTGTTGTCTCAATGAGCTGGGGTGCAATTTGGGTGCAATAATATTAAACAACACATTTTTGGCCCGAGTCCACTCACATCAACGGTACATAAGTCAAGTATCATCAAAGACAAGAAAGACCTGATGGTGTAGTGGTAGCATGCCTGCTTATTTTAAAAGTCAAACTGGCCACCTTAGCAGGAGCCCAGGCCCCCGGTCACTACCTTGTAGCCTGGTCGGATTTTGGCGCCCGAAAAAGGCTGATTTACTCTATAAATTTCCAGTTCAGCCACCTGATTTACTCTATTTTGGACCGACATTTGGGGCCAAAATTCCCATTTTCCACTGTGAGGGGCCAAAAGTTTCGCTTCTGGACTCTTTCTCTACCATTTCAACCCTCTACTCGCATTTTCCAACAACTCTTGAGTCGTTCAGCTCGATTCTAGGTCTACGGAATCAATCTCACCTTGGCCTTATGTGGATGCTTTGCCAAAAAAAAATCTCGCGCTCTGCGAGATTTATTCTATTGCAGTCGAGCTTTGGTCTTTTCCAGTCTGTTTTACTCTATAAAATGGCCGGAGATATGGCCATTTTGGGGCGTTGATTTACTCTATCGCAGACCGTCCGGTAAGGTAGTGACCGGGGGCCTAGGAGCCCCCGGGTCAGATCATTTCTTGAAATTGAACTTGATTTTTTCTTCCTGGCGTTTCTTTTTCTTGCTTCGATGATTCTGAATCTGGAATCAGGACCAATGTCCGGGGAGACGATGGTAAGTGATTGAATGATACCTCTGAAGTTTGGAGAAGTATATGAATTAAGGAACATGATTTGAATTTGCTTGCTGCCTATCAATAACGATTACCAGCAATGGGCATAGATAACTCGAGTTACACAACAGATTTGTGTCACAAGGGTTAGGTATGCTCCAAGTCATGTGTGAGTTGAGAAAGATCTGATGGTGTAGTGGTAACATGCCTGCTGAATTTAAGTATTCTTCAATTTCCAATAAGCAGGAGGCCCTGGTTCGAACCCGGGTCAGGTCATGAATGATTTTCTGTTCATTATTTTTATTTTTTCCCTTTTCTTTTTGGTCTGATGTTTCCTCTCTCCATGATAAATCCATTTGAATTTGCGTGCTGCCTATCAATATAGCCTAGTATTGTATCTTGAATGAAACAACAGATTTATGTTACATGGGTTGGGTATGTTCCAAGTCATGGGGTGGGGGTAGGAAGACCTGATGGTGTAGTGGTAACACACCTGCTGACTTTGAATAATCCAATGGGTATAGAAGCAGGAGGCCCCGGTTCGAATCCGGGTCAGGCCATGGATATGGTATGGTCATTTTTTTTTGGTCCGACGTTTTCTGCTTTGAGATGCTGTTATGTACATCCTTTGAATTTGCTGCCTATCGATATAGCCTGGAGTAATTGTAACTTGAGTAACAGATTTACGTCATAGGGTAGGTATGTTCGAGTCATGGGTGGGAAGGAAGACCTGATGGTGTAGTGGTAACATGCCTGCTGAATTTCCATCCCAAAACAAGTGCAGTAAGCAGGAGGCCCTGGTTCGAACCTGGTCAGGTCATGAATGTTTACAACCACTGTTTTTTCCCCCCCTTTTCTTTTTGGTCTGACATTTGCTGTTTTTGAGATGCTGTTACGTCCGTTTGAATTTACTTGCTGCCTATCAATATATGTTGTAACTTGAGTTACACAACAGATTTGTCTCGCAAAGATCAGGTATGTTCCAAGTATGTGTGATGCAAGGAAGACTGATGGTGTAGTGGTAACACACCTGCTGAATTCAGTGATGAAAAAGGCTGTAATCTATAAGCAGGAGGCCCTGGTTTGAACCCGGTCAGGTCATGTGTCTATCAAAACAGCTTTTTCCCTTTTATTTTTTGGTCTGAGTTTCCTCCCTCCATGATACATCCATTTGAATTTGCTTGCTGCTATCAATAACATTACAGCAATGGGCATGCGTAATTGAGTTATAATACAGATTTGTGTCACAAGGGTTGGTATGTTCCAAGTCATGTGTAAAGAGGGCAGACCTGATGGTGTAGTGGTAACATGCCTGCTGAATTTCCATCCCAAAACAAGTGCAGTAAGCAGGAGACTCTGGTTTGAACCCGGGTCAGGTCATTATTCATGGCTACCATTCTTTTTTCCCTTTTATTTTTTGGTCTGACATTTTCTGTTGAGATGCTGTTACATCCATTTGAATTTACTTGTTGCCTATCAATAACGATCGATAGCCCGGAGTATTGTAACCTGATTTACACAAGAGATTTACGTCACAAGGGTAGGTATGTTCCAAGTCATGGGATGGGTAGGAAGACCTGATGGTGTAGTGGTAACATGCCTGCTGAATTTAAGTATTCTTCAATTTCCAATAAGCAGGAGGCTCCGGTTCGAACCTGGGTCAGGTCATATTATTTATTAATATAACTTTTTCCCCTTTCTTTTTTGGTCTGACATTTTCTGCTTCGAGATACATCTATTTGAATTTGCTTGCTGCCTATCAATATAGCCTAGTATTGTATCTTGAACGAAACAACAGATTTATGTTACATGGATTAGGTACACTCCAAGTCAGGTGTGCAATGAGGAAGACCTGATGGTGTAGTGGTAACACACCTGCTGAATTTAAGTATTCTTCAATTTCCAATAAGCAGGAGGCCCTGGTTTGAACCTGGGTCAGGTCATGCTTGTTGTCCTTCAATTTTCTTTTCTTTTACATTATTTTTGGTCTGAGTTTCTGCTTCGAGATAGCCATTTAAATTTGCTTATAATGATTGATAGCCCGGAGTAATTGTAACTTGAGTTACACAACAGATGTCTCGCAAAGAACAGGTATGTTCCAAGTCATGGGAAGGTGAGGAAGACCTGATGGTGTAGTGGTAACACACCTGCTGAATTTGGCCAAAAACTGTTCCATTAAGCAGGAGGCTCTGGTTCTAATCTGGGTCAGGTCATAGATATTGTGCATTTTTTTCCTCTTTTCTTTTGGTCTGATGTTTCCTGCTTCGATATCCGAGTCTATTTGAATTTGCTTGCTGCCTATCAATAACAATTGTTAGCCTGGAGTATTGTAACTTGAGTTACACAACAGATTTGTGTCACAAGGGTTAGGTATATTCCAAGTCATGTGTAAGGTGAGGAAGACCTGATGGTGTAGTTGTAACATGCCTGCTGAATTTGGGATGTAGAAAATGGTACCGTAAGCAGGAGATCCTGGTTTGAACCTGGGTCAGGTCATGTTATTTATTAGTATAACTTTTTCCCCCTTTCTTTGGGTCTGACATTTCCTCCCTCTATGAAACATCCATTTGAATTTGCTTGCTGCCTATTAATAAGAATAACAACAATGGGCATGGGTAATTTGAGTTATCACACAGATTTATGTTACAAGGGTTAGGTATGTTCCAAGTCAGGTGTGCAGCAGGGAAGACCTGATGGTGTAGTGGTAACATGCCTGCTGAAATTACACTGTAATCCCTGATCAGTAAGCAGGAGGCCCCGGTTTGAACCCGGGTCAGGTCATAGGGTGGCAAATGTGACTTTTTTTCCCTTTTCTTTTTTTGGTCTGAGTTTCTGCTTCGAGATAGCCATTTAAATTTGCTTATAATGATTGATAGCCCAGAGTATTGTATCTTGAATAAAACAACAGATTCGCGTCACAAGGGTTTGGTATGTTCCAAGTCATGTGTGAAGCCAGGAAGACCTGATGGTGTAGTGGTAACACACCTGCTGAATTTATGATATAGCCTGTATTCTATAAGCAGGAGGCTCTGGTTTGAACCCGGGTCAGGTCATGTTATTTATGAGTATAACTTTTTTCCCCTTTTCTTTTTGGTCTGACGTTTCCTGGTTTGAGATGCTGTTACATCCATTTGAATTTACTTGCTGCCTATCAATATAGCCTAGTATTGTATCTTGAATGAAACAACAGATTTGCGTCACAAGGGTTAGGTATCTTCCAGGACATGTGTAAAAAGAGGGCAGACCTGATGGTGTAGTGGTAACATGCCTGCTGAATTTGCGGATATATTGCAGGCCATGAGGCAGTTAAGCAGGAGGCTCCGGTTCGAACCCGGGTCAGGTTATGATCATTCAGGTTTTTTTTTATTTTTCATTTTTTTATTTTATTTTATATTCTCTTTTTGTCTGACCTCGATGAATCATTTGTTATGAGGCCGGAATGAATGAAGGGGTAGATCAAATGGTGATTAAACAATACATTTTCTGAATCCATAGCCATAGCTACTTACAGGGAGTACTGGTAATGTGTGCATGTGAGACTAGGAAGACCTGATGGTGTAGTGGTAACATGCCTGCTGAATTTATAGATGTAGAACGCTGTAAGCAGGAGGTCCTGGTTTGAACCCGGGTCAGGTCATATTGTTGATTAGAATGACTTTTTTCCCCTTTTTCTTTTTTGGTCTGACGTTTCCTCCCTCCATAATACATCCATTTGAATTTGCATGCTGCCTATCAATAACAATTTTAGCCTGGAGTATTGTATCTTGAATGAAACAACAGATTTGTGTCACAAGGGTTAGGTATACTCCAAGTCATGGGTGAAGCAAGGAAGACCTGATGGTGTAGTGGTAACATGCCTGCTGGATTTGGGAAGCTTTCCATTAGTCAGTTAAGCAGGAGGCCCCGGTTTGAACCCGGGTCAGGTCATGAATGATTTTCTGTTCATTATTTTTCTTTTTCCCCTTTTCTTTTTTGGCCTGATCTTTCCTGCTTTGAGATGCTGTTACATCCATTTGAATTTACTTGCTGCCTATCAATATAGCCTGGAGTATTGTAACTACAACGGATTTGCCTCACAAGGGTTAGGTACATTCCGAGCCATGTGTGCAATAAGGAAGATCTGATGGTGTAGTGGTAACATGCCTGCTGAATTTAAGGGATGTAGAACACAGTAAGCAGGAGGCCCTGGTTCGAACCCGGGTCGGGTCATAATGTAGTTTGACGTTTCTTTTTTCTTTTTTGGTCTGACATTTTCTGTTTGAGATGCTGTTATGTACATCTATTTGAATTTTGCTGTCTATCGATATAGCCTGGAGTATTGTAACTTGAGTAACAGATTTACGTCATAAGGGTAGGTATGTTCCGAGTCATGGGATAGGTAAGGAAGACCTGATGGTGTAGTGGTAACACGCCTGCTGGACTTGGAACAAATCTAAGAGAAAGTAAGCAGGAGATCCCTCGTTCGAATCGGGGTCAGGTCATATCGTATTCCTTGGTTTTTTCTTCTTTTTCTTGACAGATTGATTGTAATAATTCCTCTGCGTACATCTTCTGTTTTCCGACATCTGTGTTCCCAGGGCCGCTCACTGCTTTACTCAGTCCTGTCGGTGTACAGTAACTCACAAAACGAAATGACGGAAGATAAGAGATAAGATCAGATACGGCCCGCTCGCGAGCGATCGGGTGTTTGGCGGTGTTGAAAGCAAGCCACCGCCACTGCCGACACGGAACGCGTTTGGGAAGCGGCGCGCGTCTAACTCTCACTACTTGCTTACTTCGAGCTCGAGTCGTTCAAGTGGACGAAAATCCAAGGCTACGACCGCGCTTGGAAGGTCGACAGCACGGGGATTCACGTGGTAGCCGATTGCGAGAAGAAGAAAGGAGAAAGGAGAAAGGACGAGGGAAGACAAGCGAGGCGGGAAGAGAACTTGGAGGCACAGAAGACGGGATATATAAGGTGTGTAGTTATGCGGTGGATGGGATGGTGCGAATGCTGACATAGCCCGAAGCCCAAGCACAAGCACGAAGCACGAAGCACGCACAGTAAAAGCATGGGGAAGAAAAGGCAGCGCAATGTTAATCGTGCAGCGGTGAACGGGCACGGCGGGCGACGCAATGCGGGGTACAACTTGAAGAACGGGGAAGGAGACGTGGACGTAGATGTGGAGGGGCAGTCGGGGCTGACGGCGGCCGCACTGGCTGCGACGAACGAGCTGCTGGCGACGGCGAAGGAGCTGTACCGGTCGCTTGGGGGCGGGTCGGACGACGGGGAGCACGATAGTCTTTCGGATGACGAGGACGATGGAGACGGGGACGGGGCTGGGAAGCAGGTGCTGAATGGCGTCGACAAGGCGTATTGGCGGGCGCTGCCTCGACGGGTGCGCGACGGCGAGCTGTCCGACGCCGAATTCGCGAGTAAAGTCAGAGAGGCGGCCGCCGCGCTCGCGAGCGTCCCCACCGCGTCCTCCGCGCCCTCCAAGTCCAACAGTGAGTATCTATCCCATCCTTTTATTCTATTTATCTCTATTTTATTTGGGGGTCCCACGATCAATCAAAAGCTGACCAATACTTTTCAGCCTCACCCACCTTGTCAAAGCGGGCAGAGGCCTCGAATTTAGCCAGCGATAACAAGGGAGAGAAGCAGCTCATGGCCCCGCCGCCGCCGCCGCCGCCCTCCAGCGTCTCCATCGGCAAGAAGCCCATGGCCTATCAGCAGGCTGCACCCGCCCCCCGCGCAGCGCTCGCGCCGCCGCCAAGGCTCCCGTCCCCGCTCCCCCGGACCCGAATGCTGCCTCGCCTGTGGGGACCGCTGCGGGGAAGGGCAAGCAGGCTGCGGGTGCGGGGAACAATGGGGGTGGGACCACCAACAACAAGATATGGAGCACGAGCAGCAGCGAGGAGCGCGAGCGCATCCGCGACTTTTGGCTGGCGCTTGCGGAGGAGGAGAGGCGGGATCTGGTGAGGGTGGAGAAGGATACGGTGTTGAGGAAGATGAAGGAGGAGCAGAAGCATAGTTGTAGTTGTGCCGTGTGTGGGAGAAAGCGGTGTGTTTCTCTTTCATTCCCTTTCACTTTCCCTTTCATCCACCTCCACCTCCTTCTCCTTCCCTTCCTTGCATCGCTCTCCCCCCATATCCCTTTGTCCCCCGCTCCACCCCATACTAAAACACCCCCCCAGCACCGCCATCGAAGACGAGCTCCAAGTCCTCTACGACGCGTACTACGAAGACCTCGAGCAATACGCCCTCTACCAACAACAATACCTCTCCTCCAACCGCACCCTCCCCCCGCCGCCCGGGCCCGGCCCCTTCCCCGGCAGCGTCGAGGTCGACCGCTACGGCGCCGTCGTCGCCGGCTACCCGCCCCCCGCTACCCCCACCCTCTCCTCGCTCAACGGAAACGCCAACGCCAATGCGAATAAAAATGCGGCAGGGAAGAATAGACGCGGGCGGAGAAGGCGTAAGCCGGCGTCTGCCCCGCTCGTGAATAACAACGGCAACGGCGGGGTGGACGAGGACGACGTGTACGAGGAGCCGGAGCCGGACCCGGCGGACGAGTTGGACGCTGTGGAGGAGGAGGGGGAGGAGGACCCGGCGGAGGACGGGGAGGAGGATGCCGACCCCGACGACGCCGACGCCGACGCGGACGACGGGGAGGCGGAGGAGCGGATGAAGCCGATTCCGATGCCGCCTGTTACGCGGCCGGCGGCGCGCGGGGGCGCAAGAGGCGGGGCGAGGGGTGGTGATGCGGGTGGGGGAGGGGTGGTGGGGGTGGGGGAGGGAGGGGAGGGGGTGGGGTGGATATGAAGGGCAAGATCGCGGCGGGGGTGGGTAGTGGGGTTGGGGGTGAGTGCTTTTCTTTTCTTTTCTTTTCTTTGGTGGTTTTCGGATTCGGGGGTTTTTTCGACTTCGGATCTTTTTTTTTGGGCGGGGGAGGCGTGGGGCGGGTTCCCCTTCCATTGCCCCTCGCCTCTCGCCCCCTCCCCTTCCCTCCCGTCTTTCTGCCTCCCCTCCCCACTTTCCTTTGTTCCTCGTCCCGTCACGCGGCACGTGCCCCCGCCTCGTCATCATCATCGATTCGGGTTATCAGGACGCGTGGCCTGTTGGTGCCACGTGTACGCGGCGGGATCTTGGTGTCGTGTGCCTGACCTGCCCCGATATGATGCCATTCGGGCTGGAGGGGACAAGAAAAAGAGCGCGCCCGACGCTATTTTGGCGAGGAGGGCGAGGTCGTGTGCCACCGATATATGTCCGAGCGGGCGTCGGTCTTCCTCTCTCTTCCTTCCGTCTTGCTTTCCTTTCCTTTCCTTTCTTTCAAGTTTGCTTCCTTTAGGATGAACGAATGCTGACATTTGCCGTTGGAAGGCCCCACCTCGATCCTGACCGTGGCAGACGACCTGCTCAAGAACGACGGGCGCAAGTTTTTGGAGATGATGGAGCAGTTGGTGGGTTTTTTTTTTTGTTTTCGTCTCTTTCAGTGTCCTACTTCGTGTGTTTCTTCTTGATTCGTCTTTTTTTCCGAATATTTTTGCTTTCGATCGTTCTTTTTTTCGAGCGGATGTTTTTTTTTTTTTTTTTGGGCGGATGTCTTTTTCTGGCGGCGTCGGCGGATGATTTCGCTTTTGCTTCATTTTTCGGCTCGGTTTCTCATTCCCTTCCAAATTTCTACTTTGTGCGACTTTCGATTTCGATCGTTCTTTTCTTTTTTTTTTTTTGGTCGAGACCTGTGCGTAGGTGCGTGCGTGCTTGGAGCGCGACTTGCGAGCTTTGGCGTTTGGCTTTCGAGCTTCGACTTGCGCTCTGCCGTGGTCGAGTTTGTCGCTCCGCCGAGTCTAGAGTCTGGCGCTGCTGGTTTTGCGGTATTCGCGGGCTGGCACAAAGGAAGCGTGGGGTCCTGCCTCTAGATTCGGCGGGCGCGCGCTTTCCTTTCTCTTCTGCATTTACTTGCGGCTTCTCCTCCCCTCCTCCCTCTTCCCTCTTCCCTCTTCTCCGTCTTTTGGTTATTCTATATTGGATAATGGAACCCGCGCTGACCTTTCTTCGTTTCTTTTTTTCAGGCCGAGCGCCGGCTGGCGCGCGAGGAGGAGGCGGCGGGGGGTGTTAGTGGGGATGAGGTGCGTTTTGTTCTTTCTTCGAAGTTATTTTTTATGTGGGAGGGAGGCGACGCTCTGAAATGGGTGTGGATAACGCAAGCTCGGGGGACGTGCGCGCTCATGACTTTGGCCTTGTGGCTCTGTGCGCGAGTGGGGTTGGTGGTTGTTGTCCACTGGCGCTGGTATTCGGAATGTACCAGAGGGAGCTTGCACCATTGGCTGGCTCCGCGCGATGCCGATGGACTCACGCAGGACATGGGTGGTCGAGGACTCGGCTCTCTGGCATGACATGACCCAGCGAAGCTCTATCTCTTTCCCTCCCCCCTCCGCTCTCCCTCCTTCCTTACATCTCAATCTCCTCCTCCCACCTCTTCCTCCCTCCCTCCCTCTCCTTCCTCATGTTTCCATTCATCCCTTCCCGACAAACACTAACACTAACACCTCCCATAGGACGACTCCTCCTCCGCGGCCTCGCTGGACGGCGACGGCGACGGCTCGTCGGACGGGGACGGGGAGGACGAGAGCGAGGGGGACGAGGAGGAGGAGAGTGGGGAGAGTGGGTAAGTTTTGGGTTTTTCTTTTTCTCGTCATTTCCATCCGAATGTAGAAGACCAACGAGCTGACGCACCTTCGTTTTTTTTTTTTGTAGGGACGACGACGGGGAGAGCGGAGATGAGGAGGAGGATGATGATGATGGGGGGGAGGAGGTGCGTTTCCTTCCCTACTTTCGTGGGCCGTTGCTAACGACGCTGTGCAGGTGATGACGGAGGAGCAAAAAATGGAGGAGGGCAAGCGCATGTTCAGCATCTTCGCCGCGCGGATGTTCGAGCAGCGCGTGCTGCAGGCGTATCGCGAGCGCGTCGCGCAGGTATGATTTATTCACACTCGACAAACCCCCAACAGCTGACTGTTATTTCTTTTGTAGGAACGGCAGCTGCAGCTTCTGCGCGAGCTCGAGGACGAGGACGAGCGCGAGCGCGAGAAGGAGGCGAAGAAGCAGACGCAGAACCAGAAGAAGAAGGATAAGAAGCGGTGCGTCTCTCCCTCTCTCTCTTTTTTAGAGGAATGGAGGTTGATTGAATCTGTGTGGTGTGTGTGGGTAGGCAACAAAAGCAGGCGAAGGAGGAGAAGGAGGCGCAGCGGGCGGCGGAGAAGGCTGCGGAGGAGGCGGCGGCGAAGGCGAAGCAGGCGGCGGCGGAGGAGGAGCAGCGGAAGCGCCGGGAGGAGGAGCGCGTGAGGCGCGAGACGGCGAGGAAGGCGCAGGAGGAGGAGAAGGCGAGGAAGGAAGATGAGAGGCGGAAGCGGCTTGCGGAGGAGAAGGAGAAGGAGGTTGAGCGCGAGAGGAAGCGCCGCGAGAAGGAGGAGAAAGGGAAGGCGGAGAGAAAGGACC